GAATGGCTTGCAAAGTAATATTTTTAGTAAGTTTTTTTTCTCTCTGGTTGTTCCAGCAAAAGATGGAATCAGAATACTTGTACATGAAATAAAAATAGTACTCTATTCTGAGTAATAAGTATGAAGATATGGAATGGTCACGTTGCTTCCAGGCTTTGTGACCAAACCCAGACCTCTCTGCCAGGAGACAAACTGTGAGGCTTGCTGAGCAAGGTTGCGTTTGACTTGCTTACAGGATCATTCCAGACACACCTTTATTGGCAACTAAATCCTGCTGCAAGCAAATTGGAGCTTGCAGGCTCTACATGTCTCCGCTAATTAAAAGTTGCATCAGAGTGGAAAAGTGAATATAAATAGTTATGTCTGATACTTTATTAAATGCTTTTCTGTGTTTCCAATATGAAATGAAGACTCTTCTTCCAGTCTCTTCTTTTCAGTTAAAGAAAACAATAAGGAGTTTGTTCATCTTCTGCGCACAGAAGAAATACATTTAGGCATTCTTTGCATAGCTGTGGGCTGGAGGGGGTTGCTGGCATTCTCATTGTTCAGCAAGTCATTTCTCAATCGCGCAATAAAAATTAACTGTCAAAACATTCAATTAAAAATACCTAATGAAAATGTTGAGAAATGGTGTGTGCTCTACTGGGGCCCTGTACTGGATTACTGTGATATTAATTTTATTAATGAAATTTTATGTACTGTTGCTTTGCACTGTTATACTGTAGCAAATGACCAATAGCTACTGTGTGACTGATACTGCATAAATAGCCACATTAAGCAGGATGCATGTGACTTGAAATTGATGTTTTTTCTGGTGAAATGTACTCTCCATTCTGAAAGCCTGTTTTTTGTTTGTTTTTTATTTTTTTTTTCTCCCCGCTGTGTGTGTTGTGCACGTTCCAGTGATTTTATAACATGCAAGACACTGATCTCAGGGGGAGTTCCCCGGCTTTCCTTCGGCCTCAAAACGGGAGCAGTCACAGGTCATCTGGGTATGTTCCAGGGAGGATTGCCCCTCTTCGCCCCCCGCCGCCTTCACAGAGCCACGCTTCAGCCGAATTTACCTCCGCCAGACAAGAAGCCCCGGCCACGTTTGCGTCCTTGCCAGCGGAGCAGCACCGCCGCCAGGCAGAAGCCAACAGGCACAAAAATACTCTCATTTGCTTTGCCGTTTCTAGCTTTTCGCTTTTTGTTGCACTGGGGATTTTTTTGGGAATAGCTTCAAAATATGCTCCAGATGGTAAGTTCTTTGTGCAAATAAACTCATCCTAGTAGTCAAAGTCCCGTGAATGTAATTCAGTAATTCAGCATCAGAGTGGTATTAGAGGTTTAGTGCAAAAATGTGATGCTCACCGTAATTCTGACATGTGGACAGAAGCAGTCCTTAAGTGTTATGCTCATCTCCTTTTTCTGTTATCAGTGTTATTTTTGTACATGTTTTTATTATGGCTAATTTCATTTACTTGGAGGAAAAAAGCATAGCAATAAATAAAGACAACTAGGAAAGGGAAAAAGCATTCATTGAATAGATGTAATTGTTTTTTGTGTGGAAGAAACTGATATTTTCACAAATTGCAGACAAAATGAAATCTTGTTTGTCTGGTCTAAGCAGTGACTAAGGAAGACGGTTTAAAAAAAACATTCAAGTAGAATATTTTTAAAAATCTGTAATAACTTACACTGTGAGTATGTGTTTGTTTTTAAACAAATTGGACAGGCAGCTCTTTGTATCAGCCCAGATTTCTAGCTGATCTTGGAAGTCTGGATGACTTGCAGGGAACTTGAAGGAAAAAAACAACAACAGGTATGCCAGTAGTGAAAAAGCATGAACAGATGATCCGGTATATTGCTGACCATTAGCTAGACATCCCTCTGGCAAAATACTGCTAAGGAGATGCAGTTGATGGGAGTTTGGTAGTTTGCTTTGGACAGTGGGTTGGGGTGGGGGGAGGTGTGTGTGTGTGTGTGTGTGTGCGTGCATGTGTGTTTAATACAAAATCAAGTTTCTAAAAACTCGGTAAGTTTTTGAATTGAGTATGGCAGTGATTGACAATGACTATTGTGACACTTCAGGCTTAGCCTATTGAATGGCTTTTGACGTAGAAATACCAAACATTCCATTTCCAAAGTCAATACAATGCATGGTGAACAAATTAAATAACAACTAATTGAAGATTTCAGATAGCAATATTAAGTGGATGTATACAGGAGTACTCTTGGTGGGGAGTTGCAGAGGTCGCTTTTTGGATAAAGTTACAGAATTGGTATTTTCCTAACAATTGTGCAGGAAAGCTGAAAATTGAGAAAGTAGTAAATGGCAGGTTAGTGCTACATGGTAAGCCTAGATCACTGGTGATATAAGTACAGGTTTGCAGTGAGTGCTTCAGTACAGCCCCATGCAAGAGAAAGCTAAAGGTGATTTATCAGCTGACTGAGAAATACCGTGGGAAGAAAATCTTCTGGGTTTAATAGAATATTTTTGGTATATTTTTGCAGATTTGTAGCAGTTTATTCCTGAGTTGCACAGATCTTTTGCACTGAATGTTTAGGCATGGTCAGCACATGGTTGATGGATCACCAAGGTTACTCAGGATGTTGCAGGAAGAGTTACTGTGGTCAATAGATAACAACAGGCCAAGGAAAAAAAAGTTTTGACTTATGTAAAGACTAAGGGATAATCCAAGGTCATGACTTTTTTTTCCTTCAACATCCTATTGCTCCCCTACGAAAAGTCCAGCTAGTTTTCAACATTAGTGGTTATGTTGTGTCTTTCTGAAGTTCCCCTGCATCATCCTCTTTTAAAAGAAGTAGTATGCACTCTCTGGAAACCTTAACAAAAGAGAAATTCCACATAGGCACCAAGGAAAATCTGACTGATTGGAAACTTAATCTTGCGGTATCGCTGTTGCAGCGGCTCCCCAGAAGACTTTTGACAGGCAGGAATTTTAATACCCGCAGCTGAAACGCAGCATGTGCAGTATTAAAGTTAGTGTTACCAGTTCCAGCTAGGTGCTTTCTCGTAAAAGGGTAATTGGAAATCCATATTGTCTATGCTTCTCATGGCTGTTTAACAGGCCATTGAGGGAATGTGAGATTTGTAGTAATTGCCTGTAAATCTTAACCCTCCGGCATACTTTCCCAGCAGGGAAAGGGATACTTATCTTTATTTCTGTGCCTGCCTCTCCGCTGGTTTCTTGTTTTCTCCTTGGTTTTAGCTTCCTGCCATCGTCTTTTTCCCCAAGCCGTGGGGCTCTGGAGGTCATGGAGAGCACTGGAAATGCAGTTTCCCTCTCCAGGCCCAGTGGCGGGTGTTGCAGGGTCAGGGTTGCAAGGAGGAGAGGTTTTTTTCAGAGGAAAGCTCTCTTTGGCCTTTGTAGTGCTCGGCTGGAGCTTGCCCAGGGTAAACAGGATCCTCAGAAAACGGAGCTGCCAAACTGTGATAAACTTCTGCTGAGCATAATATAACACTGATAATTTTTTCCCAGAGGCCTGGAAAACTCCAGACTTGGTGGCTAAGCAGGTAGAAAGCAACTATTTAACTGCATGTTGAGAACTGTTTCCTGCCTTTTCTCCTGCCAGATTTCATATCCTTGCTCCAACTTGTGGACGGTTCCTCGGGTTGGGGGCGGGGGGGCAGGTTTTTTTTTTAACCAGTTACTAAACTGCCACATTTTTTTCCCCTAACCCTGTTAGAAGCAACTAACAGCTGACCCATTTTTGTTAAAATTGAAGCAGAGGCTCGACCTGGAAAATTTTCAACTTCAACGGTTTGGCCAGGCTATAACTGCCTAACATTTTCCGTTATGTGTTTCTGTTTTCGTTTAACCTTAACCGTGGAAGCAACAACTGCAGACTAAAATCTAATCAGTAATTTTGGAGGTAATATGTGGTGAAGTGCTACATATATCCCCCTGCACCCCAGTGGAATTACTAAGGAAGTATTTCAAAATGCTTTTGCTGAGCACATCTGATTCGCTTGCCAAAAAGTTGATCCACGTGCTTTAAAAGCGTACTCGCGTTACAGGCGTGCTTAGTTTTGATTCTGATGGCCATGTCGTTTTTGTTAAAATGCAACGTTCAACAGAGTCTAGGGGTTGTTTTTGTTTGTTTAGTTTTCATGCTATTCCTCATCTTTCTGACTTGACAGAAAAATGTACTGTTACTAGATCTTACATGAATCATACAGTGTAGAAATCCTCAAGTTGCTGACTCATGGTTTCTTCACATTTCCCTCTGCTGCTGGCCAGGAAATCATGTTTCTTCACAGTGCGTGTGTATGTGGTGTCTGGGGCAAGGGGCTTAGTGATCCTGCATGAGTCAGGTTATGAAACTTGCACTTTTTTTTCCAGTGACTGCTCAGCAGTCTTGCAGATATCAATGCTCCTAGCTTTTTGGCTTCCTCCATCTATTGAATTTCATATATTTTTTAAAAGCTCTCTTCTTGGGCTCCCAGAGTTGTTGTTTGTTTGTTGGTTTGTTTAATTTTTATTTCTATATTATCTCTTAGATGCCTTTAACTCTACTCAGTTCTGCTAATTTTTCCCACTGGCAGTCAAGGTTTGATTTCTGTGGGTTTCCTGGGTTGGAAAGCCTTTGAAATGTGGAAAATAACAGCAAAGGAAATAACATTTCTGTGAGCAAAGCTAAGGCTTGTGCTAAGTCTGAGTGTAGGTTTTACTTTCTCTAGATTTTGCAAGAATAGGCTATTGCTAATCACTTTCCCTCCAGTTGCCCTGTTTCAGATGTGTGGGGTTTTTTCTTCAGAAGAAAAGATTTGGAAAAGCTGTGTATGGGCTCCAGTGGAGCTTTGCTATTTTGACTATTACTCTCAGTTGGGCTGTGAACCTGTTTGTTTTGGCATCTCTCTGGTTGTGTTTTGCCTTAACGAAAACCTTTGTAGTCCCTTTTTTTCCTCCCTCCCTTCACTTTTTTTTAGAAAATACAAGAAATATACTTCCAGTCTGTGTTTTCATAGTATGTCTGTGCTGCTGCATTACAGCAGCTATTTATGCTGCATCTCCCATTCTGGCCTCGTGGTATGGTGGTGTTGCCTTTGTGGTGCCAAACCTGTCCTGGGATTTCAACAGCGATAGTGCAACTCTGCTCCACCTACTGTATAGCCTGATATTTAAGCTGACTTCTTAAAGAGTACAAACTGCGAGTTTGAACCCACAATTCCTCGCTTCCTAGGAAACCTTCTGGGAAGGTGTTATACTTAGTATATGAAATCTGCCTTGTCCCTATTTCTGAGTTGCCGGCAAGCCTGGACCTGAAGAAGTGTTTGGGATGCTTAAGAGCAAGAGGGGATCAGCCTTTCTCGCACAGGTGCCCGTGACCTTGAGGGAGGTGACGTTTTCAGGTGCCTTATAGCTATGTTAGTATTTTGGGTAGCTGTCCTAGGGTGTCCTGTGCTCAGCGTGACTGTTGCAAATCTCGGTGCTCGTCACTTACCTCTGTGCACCTGATCTAGGCAGTTTAGGCAATCTGGACAAATATTATAAGGCGTGCTGGGGTTTGAAAGCGCAGCGTATGGCAACAGTTCACTCTGCTTATGGTCCTCAGGGATTCTCATTTAAGCATAGGAACGCCTGCCTTCCTGTAAAAAGTTTAGCTGCTTTTACTGCAACCTTTTGGCCACTCAAATGCAAATTGCAGCACCAGTCACTGAAGTACTGTAGCCGCAGAAGGTGATGAGTCTTTTAAGGGTGACTGGTGCTACCTTACCCGTGTTCAGCCTAATGCTCCCTTGACTGCTGTAGGCCTGTTGGTGACAGCTTATTTTTAAAAACTGAATTTCATATTTTATTGCAGAGAATTGTCCCGATCAGAATCCTCGTCTTAAAAACTGGAGCCCTGGGCAAGATCCCGAAAAGAGAGTTTTTATCAAAAAGGGGGATTTATTTCGTCTGGATTCAGATGCTACAGTACACTCTATTGTTATACAGGATGGAGGTATGTCATGGCAAGATGAATAAGAAGCTTCAATTGACTGTATACTTTTTGTTTTGAGATTCTGTGATTTGCAGAATGCATGGGAATTTTGTATTGCAGCTTATTGACCAGATCCTCTGCTTTTACTTTTCTGTCTGCTCCCAAGCCAGAAGCATCAAACATTAAAAAGTTGAATGAATGCTCTCATGTCTTTTCAGTGGGGCAATGGCATGGTTTTCTGGAAGATACAGCAAGCGGAAGCATGCATAGTAGCTTCCTGGCTGCAGGATCTGATTGTCTTCTAACGTTAGTCGTGATGTGTTAGCAATTGGACCAAAACGGCAAAAAAAACTTAGGCATAAACTCACCAAATTCTTAGAAAGATAAATCACAGCTCGTAGGAGTTCCTTGCCAAAGTATTCTTGAATATATTTAAAAGCTGACTTGCTTGTTTCATGGGGATGGAAATTAAATCTTTTCTAACTTTTTTGTTGCTGTTGTTGGAGAACTGGGTTCTTTGAGTCTACTTTGATATTACTTTGGCTTACAAAAATATGTTTTCCTTTAGGGTTACTTGTTTTTGGTGATGATAAAGAGGGTTCTAAAAATATTACTTTGAGAACTCGTTTTATCCTGATAAAGGATGGTGGAATGCTTCATGTTGGAGCAGAGAAATGCCGCTATAAATCCAAAGCAACTATCATTTTGTATGGGAAATCAAATGAAGATGCTGATGTGCCGGAGTTTGGCAAAAAATTTATTGGTGTGGGCCCTGAAGGGACGCTGGAATTGCATGGGCACCAGAAGGTATCATGGACTCTTCTGTCAAAGACTATGTATTTCTCAGGGCTGGCCTATGGTCATTATACATTTAAAAAGAATTTTTCCCGAGGACTAAATGTGAGGGTGATCGATCAGGACACAGCAGAGGTTTTGGAAATATTAAAGTTTGATACTCATCAGTTCTCAGAAGAAAGCTTGAAACTCCAGAACTTGCTAAAGAAAGGAACTCCTGGTCGCATTGTTGCGATTGCTGTAGGAGATTCAGCTGCTAAAAATCTACTGGAGGAAACTAGATTGACTATTCAGAATCTTCTGGGAAGCAAGTTTGTCAGCGGATTGAGTTACAGGTAAATAGTTTATTTTCCCTTTCATATTGAGTAAAGTTTAAATATAGTTTCTACCCTCTTCGGGGATTTCATTAAACTGACAGTGCCTGTTCTTAAAATCTTAGAAGGATTAATTATCAGTGTAGTATCTTGATAATGCAGACCCCAATACCTACAGATATCTATAGGTTTTATTACTAATTCATAGTTACTGTCATTCACTGTTCTTTATAGAAATTAAATTTAGGTACAGTGAGGAATTTACTTCCTTTCAAACAGACAGATAGAAAATAGGTGCTAGGTGGAGCTTTTAATGCATATGATTTGATATTTGAGAGAGCAAGGAATGACATGCTGGAGACCGAATGCAGAGAAGGGGAGTTGATCAGGTATATCACACCACCCTGTACATCCTGTCTGTGCCTGTGCACTGTTGAAACCAAAGTGCATTACTCCTTCACTTATACTTCAAGGGAACTAGCCTGTAAACATATTTTGTTATTGAAGTACCTTTGTAAGGTGTTTTTGTAGCTTTTACATTCCTTTCATTCAGTGTGTTAGGGCTCAAATGGTGGGACAAATAATAAGATAAAACAGTATAGTATAACAAGAGTTGTGTAAGTATAATGAGAGGTGTTAAAGCAGGAAACTTAAAACTACTGTGCCATTCATTTTCTTATTGTAAGTGACTTTTTGCAGTGCATGTTTGACTTTTGCTTGCGCAATACAGGTTCACAATAAGTGTGAAAGGGACACCAAATCGTCTAATTGTTCACCAGGTCTTCAGCTTCCATAAAGATGGTTTTGTATAACCTCTTTTTGTTTTTCAGAAAATCAGTAGTTTAGTTTTTCTATCCTATTCTTACCACTCCCCCCCCCCCCCCCCCGCTACCCCCTACCGAGCCCTGACTGCTCCTCAGCTAGCCCTGGGGAGCTCCTTGACCAGCTCCACTTGCCCCCAGCATTACATATTACATCCTTGATTTCCTTCAGAAAAATGTTCTTAGAAATAGCTGTGTAAAAAATCTGGCCGTTTGGTCGTGTGGAAAGTGCTTTCAAGCCTGCCTGCGAAGCAGTTTCGTTAGAGGTAGTGAGACCTACGTGTCCTAGAATAAGTACCACTTCTGAAAGTTGAAAAGACCACATGAAAGCTTTTTTTCGGTACCTGAGCAGCTAGCCTTGATCTGGATGACGGGTTTTGGTGTTCATCTCTGCCTGTGACTGCCACAGCGATTAATCTAAAATGAGGAACTGCTTTAACCTGCTGCTGTGAAGTAGATAGCTTTTTCCCCCTTTTCTGCTAAACTAATTCCTGTCTATTTTCATTAGTATTACAAGCCTTTAAATACATACAGTTGTGTTGTTCTGCTCTCTGCAGCAGAAGATGGACAAGTAACTCATTTCTTGGTGGTCATCAAGTCAAAACAGGGTCATTTCATTAAACTTGTGAAGCTAATAAAACAGAGTTCAGCGTGGTGAGAAATGCCACGTTATGTCCTTCTCCACTTCTGCCTCTTCATCCAAAATACAGTGTGCTAAATTCTGTGGTATTTATTTTAAATGTTGGTGTATGGAAGGTTCACCTTGTTTGCTGGTACCACTGAAAAGCATGCCTAGTATATACTGTTCTCATGAGTGGGTTAAAACCAAACAATTTAATTTGGTCTTTTAAACCCAAACATTAAGGCGAATGTAAGAGGGCTGAAATAAAGGCAGCTGGTGGCTCTAATACCTGCCTTTGCCTTAGCCCTGGACTACCGTCCAGCCGACTGGTCCTGTTTTCCTTTGATTCAAACCTCAATAATGTAATTGTTTCTGCTTTGTAATGAGGATCTTGTCTGCTGCCTCTGCGCGTAATTATGGCCTTATGGAGCAGTAAAAAACAGCAAAATACTGATTTTTCAACTTGGTGGCAGCGTTCTGTGCTACACAGTTTGTTTTCCATCTCTAAAAACTTGAATTCGTTGAGCGGAGCTGTAAGGAAGTGGAAATATATCAAAGACAGTTCCCAGCTCCCAGCAGGCACTTGGCCAAGATAACTGTCCAGCTGAGGGAAAGGCTAGCAGAGGGAAAAAATGAAACCCTTGGCCTCAGCCTTCAAAAACCTCCACAAGAGCACTCGTCCAAAGGTTTTAAGAGTATCCTTTTCTTTTCTTTTTTTTTTTTTTTT